CTGAAGGTTGTCACAATGATTTAGGCCAAAATCTATGATCAATATTATATGCATCATGCTTACCTTTCTCAGCTCTCTCTTTTTCTCTTTTTGCACTCAGTAAATACAAGATCTGAGTAAAAACAATATATTGTTTCTGTCACTATGTGTAAGATGCATATTTACACACAATATTTCACAAAACAAATCATTCCTCATTAAGTAAATTAATCTGATTGACTCACCTTTGTAGCCTTGGATAAAACATTACCACATTACCACTTTCTGATCAAACAGATAATTGATTGTGATTTGTAAGAAATGCTGGGAGGCATTATAAAATATGTACTTAACACACCTGGTGTAAATTTAAATTGCTGTTGTACTCCTGGTCCTATACCCATTGCATGACCGATATCTTCTCCTAATCCAAAACTGGCATTCTCAATATCCTGATAGTGTTGAATGCAGTAGAACTTGTCGTGGTCAAAATTTGTTGTGGTCGGGAACATAGCAGTAGTTAAACTGGTTTAGCCATGAGTTGCATATTGCACAAACAAAGCAGCTTTTGTGAAACACATGATTTTCCACTGCCACACATTCAAGAATGTCTACAGGTCTGCCACATTTTGGTTGGTCACACCTGTTTGTCTGAATTACAGAGCTGTTGGTGGTACTGGCATTTTGATGTCTACCCTGCAAAACATATTATCAAATTAAAACAAGAAGTATAAATATTATTGTTTAAATTATCATCTACCCAGTAGGAATACTAAATAAAATGCAAAAAGATGTCAAAAAATTTATTGAACAAGTTCTGATTAATGTTTAAAATGAAACATTTTCTAGTAGGTCATCCTCATGGTCAAAAGTTTCTTTATGTCACGCTGGTTCAATTTTTCCTTGTCTCAGCACTATAAATGTACTCTAAGAAAAAAAAAACTTACACAACTTAAACTGGTTGAAAATCTTAAAACAAAGGAAAATATAAATCATGACTTCTGCATCCAAAAGAATAGTACATACATAAACAACATGAAATAGTTTATTGATTGTTTTAAATCCCAAAGATGACTTAAGGCTTTCTTCCAATTAAAGTCAAGTTTTTCAGACAAGTTGATCAAGTTTGGGCAGCAGCTCACTTAACACAATGGATGATTCTATCCTAGGACTACTCACAATGACAATAAACTTAACATTCAAAATTTCAGTGAGAAGCTTAATAAATCACCAAGTATGTCCACATTAGTCAACAGAGAAGTCTGGTCCCAATTTTTGCTGGTTATCAGATCCTCCATAACTGTTATCCAACATGTCCCTTGCTTAAGCTGATTACATCTGCTAATTTACATTAAGCAGTTTAAAGAAGTGTAACCTCACTTAGAGATATCCCTTGAATGAACCAACTTTTTTGTGTATGCCCGTGCATACATGAAAAAGGGTTTCTGGTGATTACCCCTGCTGGAAGTTCCATTTTAACAGTATAAATCTAAATCTTTGAATCTACTTTTTCCCTGCCTTGCAATTTCTTATGACTCCTACGCATAATTAAATTCAGCAGCTTTCTCTTTTCAGATCAAACTCATTACAATTTCTAGTGACAAATCTGAGAGCATGAATTTAGTTCAATTCATAAAGGAAAATCAAATTCCCCTCCAGCTTTTTTAAAATCATACTTACATTGACGAGCCTCTCTTTGTTCCATCTTGCTGTCTTCACATACTGTTTGTAGTGCCATCTAAGCTCTTTTACAAGTTCCCCCCTGTCATCTGCTGATTTCGCTGAATTTGCACTAGATTTTCGATTAAAAACTGAAAAATAAAAGTTGGAAAAGGTGAAATGCAAATTTTCATCAAAATGAAAATGAAAGCTCTCTACAAAGACAGTATTGTAGACGGACATCTTATATTGACACCCACCACGCCTGGTAGTTTATGTGCTGAATTCAGCATTGAAAGATGCATGTTAAAGACCTGACAAGGTCAGGTGTTCTTTTCTTGGGCAAGTCTCTTTACTAACTTAGTGTCTCTCTCCATTTACAAGTATATACAGGCAACAGATAACTCTCAGGGAGGCCCGATAAAAGACCTGGGTAAAACTTTGATGGACTAGCATCACATTCAAGGGAAGTAACAAAACTCAAAGTCACTTCCACAAT